AGATAGCCTTTTTCTTTTCTTTTCTTGAGGACAACCAAAAAAAGTCTTTTTCCCCCGAACTACTAGAGAAAGATCACTAATACATATATATATAAAAGCAGCATAGAAAGGTACAGGCGTCTCACCAACTATGAAGAAAGAGACTAAATGTGGGCGTATGGTTAAACTACGATGCATCTTCACATTTGTCCAACACATTTACAAGAAAAACACCATTGGAAACCTCACAGGACAGAAGTGTTTGAACACGAAGAGAACTACTAGTTTTTTTTTAATTAAAAAATCTAAACAGGGTGGGGTTGAAAATTTGGGAAGGGGCTGGAGCTGGAGCCACCATTTTTTTTTTTTTAAAAAGTAGTTTTTGATATAAAAATGAATGAGCTGGAATAGACCCAATGTCTTATTCTGTGGAATCTTGCAAAAGTGAACAAACGTTGAAGGGTTATTTAGGGCAGCTGGCTGATGTCAGAGCTGCCAGAATGCTAATTAACTGCAGGTTGAGTCTCTTAACTGTGTGTGTGTGTGTGTGTGTGTGCGTGTGTGTATAAAGGAGCCTTTTGTATTATGGCATTTTATTTTTTTTTTTCTTTCTTGCTGCTGTGTTCATACATCCCACTGCAAATCATCTTTCATTTTTCATTCTGTTGACCTGGATATTATTTCTTTTCAGAAACAGGGAGGAAAAAAAAAACCCGAACATCTGTTTCTCCTTCCAATATGCTGCCCATATGCGTGTTTGTAGCGGGTCTTCAAAGTTCAGCTAGCAACCCATGGACGCCATTCATCTTCTCGTTAAAACGTCTACCACTGTAGCCAATGCTCATGCCCTCGAGGGTTTTCCTCTTTTATTTATTTATTTTTTTTCCATTACTGTATATCAGGAACGTTGTGTCTTAATATTAGCATTTTGCTTTCAACAGCAATGAGCAATCTCTTGGTTTGCTGCTTGGTAAAGCATCGGTTAATGAGGTCATCTAGTTTAAAATCCCAGCTACTGGAAATAACAGGGAGGAGGTCACATCTATCGTTTCGCGTTATATCTATTCTTTGCTCTCTTTTCAGTTCCCTAAGGAAAAGGTATCTTTGTCATCCACAAGAAGTCATTACGACCCGTGACTGGCCCTCTGTCTTCCCACCGCCTCAAGATCCGGTCGGGTTCTCGCTGAAGAACTGAAATAGGAAAGTTCACCTACAAACGAACGAACGAACAGAAAGGACTTGGAGCATCTGAGGATGAAGAGTTGGTTCCCGTCGGTTGTGTCATCTTTCCTTCGACAGTTCTGAGTTCACATCTAGCGAGGGGTTGTCTCTATGGTGGAAGGGGTCCCCGGGGTGGTGGACCTCGGGGTGGCTGCTGGTGGCGTGTCCATCGGGCTCCCGGCCCCGCTGCTGGGCGTGACGGAGGAGCTGACGGCGGGCGTGTCGCCCTGCTGCTGCGCCTGCAGGGTCTGTCCGCAGATGTGGTGGTGCTTTTCCCAGTCTTTGTGTTGGCAAAAGGAGCCACAGTACCGGGCTGTGTTACAGCCGCTGCACGTTTCGCTCGCTTTTCGGCCACAGTTCCAGCAACTCTACAGGGGGAGGCAGAACAGAGCAAAGCCCAGGTTAATACAAGGCCAGGCCAAGGCGGAGCAAACGCCATGGGCGGCTCTGTCCCCGTCTTTTCAAGAACCGGGCGGTGGGACCGAGAGCCCCAGGCGCGTTGCAGACACGCTCAGCGGGGTTTGGCCCGCGGGCGGCCACGCTGCTCTGCCGAGAACTATTACATCGAACAAAGGGCTGGAGCTTTCTGTCCCAACTGTAACATCCCTTCCTTGGGTTCGCTGCATCTCCATTCCCCCCACCCCCTCGAACACCAGCACCACCATGACCACACACAGACACGTCGCTCTGGGCAGAAGCACCTTCCTCCCGACAGGGCGGAAACTACAGACGGACAGGGCCCTGTATTAGACTCAATGAAGTGTCCCTGCTCCATCACAGAGAGAGGTTGGGCGAGACCCTTTAGCCTCCCCGTGCACTTAGTTTTCCCCGCTGCAGTCAGTCAGCTATTCAGTGCACCTGATACGCAAACTCACAGTCCCCTCGACTTCAGCGCCCTGCAGGGCAGGGTCCCTGGCTCGTCTGTTCTCCGATATACTCTCAGCACCCAGAACAGTGCCTGGGATGGAGCAGGTGCTCCGTAAGTAATTATGAAGCGAACGAATCTGACGATGCCTAATTTGACTTCGAAAAACTGGAAATACTGAAACTGCATAAATAACGAGTGGTCAGAAAAGCGGAGGAAACGAAAAACTCAGACCTCGGCAAGCCCGATGCCAATGTGCAGCACTTTCGAGAGGTGGGAAAAGCCCGAATGAGGCTGCCTCTGAGGTTTAGACTTTGAAATAAACACACCACGAATCAGAGCACAACGTACCAGAGGCGGAAGAGCACCTGTCTAGGACGGATCGTAGGGAAGGAAGGAGGTACAGAGCGGAGACAAAAGGTGACAGTCCCTCAGGGAGCCAACTTTGAATGTCTGTGCAGTAGCTCCTCTGGCAAGACCAAGCCCACCGTAAAATGCTCTATCAAGTGATCTTAGCTTCCAGCCCTTAATCTTTTTTTCTTTATCTTCCCAGGTTTTAATTATTTTCTTGCCAAATGAACTTCTGACTGGTAACTCTAACCAGCCGACGGTATGTGTGTGATGGTTGTGTCACAATTAAAATGCATTTTTATTTATTTTTATTTTTTATTTTTTAAATATATCTTTATTGACTTCAGAGAGAAGAAAGGAGAGGGAGAGAGAGAGAGAAACATCAATGATGAGAGAGTCATTGATCAAGCCCACAACCCGGGCATGTGCCCTGACTGGGAATCGAACCCCGATCGCCTAGGATCCTAGGTCGACGCTCAACCGCTGAGCCACGCCCGGCCGGGCTAAAATGCATTTTTAAAGTCCTGATATATGTGGATATTAAAAGCCGCGCCACTGTGTTCCCTGCGTTTGTTTTACTTTGAACATGCAGAGACATTTTTAGCAGTCATCCTAACTTTGCTAAGAAATAAAGGGGCTCCTAGAGTTTCGTGTGCTGGAAGCCTATACACACAAGAACCCTAATTCAAAACGTCTAGAAAGAGCTCAACTCGATGTTCTTATTTCTTTACTACTCAGAAATTATGGCCCAAGGAGAGGGGGCAATAAAACCCAGGAAAACCTTGAGATCTCAAATGCTGGCCAGTGGGAGGTGTTTTAAATGAACCTTGCTGAGGAAATGTATGTTAACATCATAAATAAGAATAAAATTAAAATTAATAATCACTGCTGGAACAATTTTTTTTTAACCAGGGAAATAATTTAAAAGATGTGGACTTCTGATCAGAGGTTTCATTTGCCAAAACTTGAAGCCCTTCTTTCTCAAAGTCAATTCCCTCGCATTTCGGGTACAAACGACTCCGTAAGGGCGTGAACGAGCGTGGGCCTGGCCCGCCCGCAGGAGGAGTGAGGCACCACACGGCGCTCACGGCGCAGTTCACTTCCTTGCGTTTAGCCAAGTTCAGAACAGTTCCAGGTGGATCCTGGGACAAACTCAGCAACTATGTGAAATTACTGAATTACATCAGAAAGTCTCAACGAGAGAACAGAGACTCAGCTCCAAAACGATATTTTAAGGAAATTAAATATCTAAGTCAAGTGGCTTCTTTAAAATAGACCCTGGTGTGCGGGTATTTTTTCTGGCACAGGCGGCTTTGGCAGACGCCACAGTGGTCACTGCCCAGCACTCAGTGCAGCCGTCAGATTGAAGTCAGATGTAGGCAAACGTTTCCATTTAAGCTGATTAAACGCAGGGACTGCACCAGGTAATTATAGATGCATGTGTTGGGGGGTGGAAAGAGGAGACAGAAGGGGGACTTCTTTTATTTTTAAAGTGTTTTCAAAGATGGGAACAATTTTACAAATAAAAAAGTGGAATTCTGCCAAATATAGAAACAGATGTTTTGGATCGGAAAGCTGCTGGGAATTGAGTCTCTGTGCCTATGTATGGCCGGACTCTGACCCAGGACTCGAGGGCTCTTGCTAATTTTACCTCTAGTCCTGGTCCCAAGTTGTCAGATCAAATTCGTTTACCACCCACGGCTGGGACAAAAACAACCTTCAGCTGCAGGAACACACAACAAAGAGGAATTCAAAGGACCTGGTGGGAGAAAACCTCTAAAACTACCTATTTTTACTCCTCTTGATACTGCATTGCCATGAATGTGTAGGGAAATTCAGCGTAAGTATTCAACTAACAAAAAACTCCACAGCGCACTTTCCTTTTAAAAGGCTCATTAAAAAGCAGACAAAGCGATTTCCATCAACGTGTTTCTCTCGGGTGGCTCTTCGGCATCTCCCCAAATCCAGACCTGCAGCACTGGTGCCTGACCAGCGGCCCTCAGCCGTCCCGCTTCTGGGAACAGTGAAATGTGCAGAATCTTGTGAGTCCTGTCATCTAAATAATTTTAAGTCTAAACTTTCTGCTGTTCACAAAGGAGGAAACTAAAAATTGTGTCTAGTAGCCCACGGTATAGCCTTAAAGGGCAGGGACAAAAGTGGCTGATGATTTAATCTAATTCTACATTTTTCCACTTGTGCCTTTTGTGTTCAGGCTGGCATTTCCTTATACTTGCTCTATTTATTNCTTTTATGTTCAGGCTGGCATTTCCTGATACTTGCTCTATTTATTTGTTTGTTACCTATTTTATTATTTTTTTAAATAACTGAGCTTCCCTTTCGGGCCCCAAAGGTATGATGCTGGCGACTGAATTACCACAATAGTGCAGAAGGCTCAAGAACACCATTTCATAGCAAACCNTTGTTTGTTACCTATTTTATTATTTTTTTAAATAACTGAGCTTCCCTTTCAGGCCCCAAAGGAATGATGCTGACGACTGAATTACCACAATAGTGCAGAAGGCTCAAGAACACCATTTCATAGCAAACCTCATTCCCAAATCTAACGGCGCTTTGTAGCCTTCCCTTATTTGTGATAATATATTCCCTTTTCAGCATAAAGAATATTTTATTCCCCCCCGGAAGGCGTGGCTCAGTGTTTGAGCATCGACCTATGAACCAGGAGGTCATGGTTCAGTTCCCAGTCAGGGCACATGCCCGGGTTTCGGGCTCGATTCCCAGTTGGGGACGTCNGGAGGTCATGGTTCAGTTCCCGGTCAGGGCACATGCCCGGGTTTCGGGCTCGATTCCCAGTTGGGGACGTGCAGGAGGCAGCGGATCCATGACTCTCTTTCATCATTGATGTTTCTCTCTCTCCCTCTCCCTTCCTCTCTCTGAAATCAATAAAATATATTTTAAAAAAGACTATTTTATTCCCTGTTTGAAAAGTGGGAATCAGGTCATTGACCAAAGTGAAGCTGTGACTCATATGGAGAGTAGGAGGCTGGACACGATGCTCCCCTTTGCTAAACGTACTGATACCACAGAAAGAAATGGGGGTGATGGACTGACGCTTCCAAATGCCAAGGATGTACGTCAAAGATTATCAAAACTTTGTTTCATATCAGCAATTCTCTTCATTCCTAAGAGCAAAATTATTTCTTTCGTCTTGTTATTTTCAATATTGAGAGAATGGTCATTCTGCCATACTGGCAAAGAATATCTTCTCTGGCTCTTATTGTTGAAAATTCCTTTTCCAAGAAGCAGAACACCATCCTCCTGAATTACAACTAACTACTGGAACAGTCCACTTACTTATTACCTGTTCTATGTTCACTTCAGGTCACTTCCTTCCATCACCTAAGCTAAGCCAAGTTATGGATCTCAAAGAAGAGCTGCCGCAGGCTCCTTTAAAACAGGCCCTTCGCACAGTGTTAATTGTGGGGGAAACCTACATAAATATAAACCCAGGAAATAAATATGAAAAAAACAAAACAGTTTCAGATAGCCAGATTCAAAAAATTCCCTTTCTTTGGACTTACGCTAACGCTGGCAGTAATTCTTGGTGAGATATGTAAAACACTGTAAAAAGAGAAACTATCATATGGCGTAGGTAAGCCCGAAGTCCAGCGTCATTCTGTGACAATAATGACAGTCTACGAACCCGGGGAAACTTAGAGAACTCGGTGGGAAACACCTGGAGGAAGTCCAGTGAGGAAACAGATCCGCCACCACACAATCGGGAGAAAAGAAATCCCACTTCTGCCTTGTGGCTACCGAGCAGGCGGGAGGAGAGGCCGGCAGCGGGCCGAGGTCCAGCTCACTGACCGCCCGGGGCCCGAGCGGCCCGGCCTCCTCACACTCAGCTTCGCTCAAACGCAAAACGTGGACGACAGCACTGTTCACCCGAACCCGCGGAGGGCAAGTGAGCGAGTGCTTTCTGCCGCACCTGGCTCAGAGCTAAACATTCGTTACAGGTCGTCTTGTTTTACCTCCGGCAAAATAAACGTCCTGGGGCCCCAGCAGCCGCGCTGAGCCCGGTTCCCACGCGCCTGGGACGGCCTGGCCTATAGGCCCGCTCTGTCCTTTCCCTCTGAAAAGTGTCCCCGTTTGAATGATAAACGACACGGCCCCCTACGCACACGCCCGTGTGCTCTTTCCTTACCCCATGCTCCCTGCCTGCTGTTTTCTCCACCTCTGTTACTTCCAAGTCCTTCTGGAACTTTCCTACTCTCGACGGCGTACCTGTCAGAGCCACTGGCTTTTCTAAGCAGAATGGGCATCCTTAGGTCCACCGAACATGTGTGAAAACGGAGGCAGCGAGAGAAAGACTAAACTCGGAAATTGAGAGAGAGAGAGAGAGAGAGAAAGTCCTCCGCATTAACAGCTCGGACGAAACCCACGGGCAGCCACGCCGGGCCTGGACCTCTGGTCCTCCGGCCCCCCGAGCTCAGGTTGCCTCCGCAAGTCCCCGGGAGGAGAGAGAACTGGTGCATTTATATTGTCCACGTGTGTGGTTTTATAGATTCGGGTGATCAAGATCACCCAGCGCCCTGGCCGGTGTCGGTTTGCTCCGCGGTTAGAGCATCGGCCTGCGGACCACAGGGTCGCGTCGAGGTTTGATCCCCGGCCCTGGTCGGGGCACGTGCGGGAGGCAACCAACGGGCGCGTCTCTCACGTCGATGTTTCTCTCTCTCCCCCCTCCACTCTCTCTAAAAGTCAATGGAAAAAAATATCCTCGGGCGAGCATTTAAAACAAAAAAGATCATATATGACCTGGGTGAGTGGCGCACACGTACCTACAACAGGAGGCGGCTTCAAATGAGGGAGGGAGAGCGGAGGGGTTGTCAGGAAGCTGCCCTGCGTCTTGTGACCAAGGACCGTGGGACACGTGCGCAGGGCTGCCTCGCACCTCCGCTCTCCAAACGTGTTAAATGAAACCATTTCTGTACAACCGGTGAGGTAATCAAGTAGCGTCACGCCTTACGGGAAAGCGAGGCTGACGGCAGTGCGACGCTTCGGCCAAAGCCCGCAGCGCGGAGGCCGAGCTGGGGCCGGAGCTCAGGCTCGGGCTCTCCCGGCTCCTCCCGCGCCCCCCGGGCTCTGGGCTCTGGGCTCTGGGCTCCGCGCCCANCGACAGCACTGTTCACCCGAACCCGCGGAGGGCAAGTGAGCGAGTGCTTTCTGCCGCACCTGGCTCAGAGCTAAACATTCGTTACAGGTCGTCTTGTTTTACCTCCGGCAAAATAAACGTCCTGGGGCCCCAGCAGCCGCGCTGAGCCCGGTTCCCACGCGCCTGGGACGGCCTGGCCTATAGGCCCGCTCTGTCCTTTCCCTCTGAAAAGTGTCCCCGTTTGAATGATAAACGACACGGCCCCCTACGCACACGCCCGTGTGCTCTTTCCTTACCCCATGCTCCCTGCCTGCTGTTTTCTCCACCTCTGTTACTTCCAAGTCCTTCTGGAACTTTCCTACTCTCCACGGCGTACCTGTCAGAGCCACTGGCTTTTCTAAGCAGAATGGGCATCCTTAGGTCCACCGAACATGTGTGAAAACGGAGGCAGCGAGAGAAAGACTAAACTCGGAAATTGAGAGAGAGAGAGAGAGAGAGAAAGTCCTCCGCATTAACAGCTCGGACGAAACCCACGGGCAGCCACGCCGGGCCTGGACCTCTGGTCCTCCGGCCCCCCGAGCTCAGGTTGCCTCCGCAAGTCCCCGGGAGGAGAGAGAACTGGTGCATTTATATTGTCCACGTGTGTGGTTTTATAGATTCGGGTGATCAAGATCACCCAGCGCCCTGGCCGGTGTCGGTTTGCTCCGCGGTTAGAGCATCGGCCTGCGGACCACAGGGTCGCGTCGAGGTTTGATCCCCGGCCCTGGTCGGGGCACGTGCGGGAGGCAACCAACGGGCGCGTCTCTCACGTCGATGTTTCTCTCTCTCCCCCCTCCACTCTCTCTAAAAGTCAATGGAAAAAAATATCCTCGGGCGAGCATTTAAAACAAAAAAGATCATATATGACCTGGGTGAGTGGCGCACACGTACCTACAACAGGAGGCGGCTTCAAATGAGGGAGGGAGAGCGGAGGGGTTGTCAGGAAGCTGCCCTGCGTCTTGTGACCAAGGACCGTGGGACACGTGCGCAGGGCTGCCTCGCACCTCCGCTCTCCAAACGTGTTAAATGAAACCATTTCTGTACAACCGGTGAGGTAATCAAGTAGCGTCACGCCTTACGGGAAAGCGAGGCTGACGGCAGTGCGACGCTTCGGCCAAAGCCCGCAGCGCGGAGGCCGAGCTGGGGCCGGAGCTCAGGCTCGGGCTCTCCTGGCTCCTCCCGCGCCCGCCGGGCTCCGGGCTCCGGGCTCTGGGCTCCGCCCGCAGACACGAGCACCTCGCGCTGGACCTGCCGCAAGCAGCAGGACCGCATCACTGACTACCGCAGCCAGGGCACCCGACAGTGAAAGGGGCGCTTTCAAGAATGACACGGGGACAACAGGAGTGACCTGAGGATGCCTCCCTCAAGCTGAGGTGTGTGGTCACCTTGCCCCGGCCTTCACGGGCACAGCGCGCTGGCCCAGCTCTCACAGTGACGGCAGAACCGTGAAGCTTCCCGCTGTGCGTGCCCTTTCCTGCCCAGAGGCCTGTCCAGGTGGAGAAATAACTGATCGGAACTCCTTTAAACACTTTAACTTGTGCTGTTCATGCACAGAAACGAAGGAAGCTCCCCCCCCACACACACACCTCGGACAGGCCAGGCCACGGGGTTTCTGAAGGCTGCTCAAGTGGGATCGCTGACGGGCCTACGCCAAACCCTGCGTGTCCTGAGGAAGCACGGCCCCCTCTTCCTCCCTGACAGCTAACCGGCCATCAGACCCTGCCCGTTCTATCTCCTGGACGCGCAGCTGGTCCGTCCCCAGCACCACGACCAGCCGTCCTGACCCAGCCACCTTCCTCCTCACCGGTCTCCTGAAACAGCTCGGCTCCCCCGTTTCATCTCCTCTGCTCTCCCCCGACACCGCAGGCCGCGCGATCCTCCAAAACACGCCCCAGCCACACGGTTTTCCTGCCTCCAAAGCCCAGCAAAGCTTCCCTTCCCATCTCCCCTGCACGAAGGCACTGCCCCACTGCCAGGGAGGCACTGACGAGGCACCCAAGGGTGCGGGGGTGGGGGCGGCCGCCGACCACGTTGCAGAATTCCAGCCGCCGTGCAAGGCGGTTCCGCTCAACTCCGCGTCTGTGAAAGGCCACAGCTTCCGGAGGCTTAGAGGCTTTCTCCAAGTCACAGAGATGGGGGACATGGAACCAGGAGTTAAAGTTGGCCTCTGAACCCCACGCCCTTCTCCCAGCACAGTGGGCTTCAGGACCCTCGAGAAAGTGTCACTGCAGACAAGGGTGGCGCCACGTTAAAGATCAGTTTCCCAAGAGATCCAAAAAGAAAGAAAAACAATTGCTATAGAAAATCACTCATAGCTGGGTCTTTTCATCCTATCTACTGTCTACTGTTGGACACACCATATTTTTATAATGTGAACACTAGGGTCAAGATTGCATGTTTTCCTGTATAGGTTTTATGAATAAAGATGAAAACCTTATAGATACTGAAGGAATTAGAGCACATTGTACAATGAATACAGAGACTTAATTCTCAATTGCTTTCTACACGTCTTCTCTTCAGAATTTAGTGACGTACAACATACTCAACATAAACAAGAGACCTCAAACATTCATGTGAAAGTGATCGTGTTTGAATAAAGGCAACAACTGTGCCTCCCAGTATTACTGACTTGAAGAGAGCTGGGAAAATTCTCTCCAAAAGATGCTAATGATATTTTTAAAGCACAAAACAAGGTCCTTAAATATCTTAGCTACAGATGCCAATAAAATTGAATTTATGTCTAGTTCAATCCAATAATGAAAAAGTCAGCAATTAAAGTGTAGATCAACCTCCCTTTGTCTCTCTCTTCCCGAGAAACTTTCACATGTTGAAAATCAATTCCTTTTGTCCTCTTAATATTCATCTGCTACACATTACACAGAAATTCTGGGCATAGAGTGATTCCCACAGGGTCTTTCTTCTACAGAGACGCCTGGTACAAATTAAAGTCTTACTCTCCCTCACAAATTATAGATATGTATTCTGGTAGACCATTGATTTATCAGTTCATGGTTTTGCTAGTTCGGTGGTTTAATTGTAGTCCTTTATGCACAGTTACTCTGGGGTTGGGGATTGCGATGCTACTCTGTGAGATACTGTGTTTCAGTTACTTCCCAGATCTTTGAGCCACTTAGGCTATGCGTGTGTGTGTGTGTGTGTGTGTGTGTGTGTGTGTGTGTCTTAATATACTGGAACAATACAAAGTAACACTGCCTCTGTTGGTGTGTGTGTGTCTTAATATACTGGAACAATACAAAGTAACACTGCCTCTGTTGGTGTGTGTGTGTCTTAATATACTGGAACAATACAAAGTAACACTGCCTCCGTTGGTGTGTGTGTGTCTTAATATACTGGAACAATACAAAGTAACACTGCCTCCGTTGGTGTGTGTGTGTTTTAATATACTGGAACAATACAGAGTAACACTGCCTCTGTTGGTGATGTTATATGATACAATGATCATAATAGTTATCACAAATAAGGTGGAAAAACAGACTGTGCAGAAAATCTCTTAGAAATGTTCAACTGACGCAAACATTGTTTTAGCACTGGATTTTAGGACCAACAGTGAAGGAAATGACTTTGATCCCAGGCATGTAATGTGCTTTTTGGAGAGCACAGTTTACACAGAGTATCTCTATTAAATCCCTTCCTTTAGAAGGAAACCACAGGCATATGGTGTCACCCACAGCTGAATTCTGAGTCTGGAAATGGTGCTAGGGAAGTTATAAGAATTTCACTTTAATCTGTTACCTCTGAAATATATTAAAAACTTCCTTTGCTGGAGTTGTTCCTTTAGGTCTTTAATGAAGATGGGATTCGATCAGCTCTCGATCACTTAATTCGAACTCCCCGAATTATTCTAATCTCTCCCCAAAGATTCGCTTGTCTAAGTCCAATATCTGCTTCTACTTGTGATCTCCTGGATCAGAAACGGGCACCGTAACTAGTGCAAACTCCCTTCTTCCCCGGAGCCTCCCAGCGACGCCTCACCTCGCTGGAGTCCTCCTGCTGGTTGATGACAGCCAGCGCGTCCTCGGCCGCCTGCCGCTTGGCCTCGGCCACCGTGCGCTCCATCTTGGCCCGCTCGGTGGTGATCATGTCGTGGGCCTTCCGCTCGGCCTCGGACACGGCCTTCTGCAGCTCGGTCATCGCCTGGCGCTTCACCTCGTTGACCGCCTCCTCTGCAGGCCGGGACACCGAATCGGACAAGAGAACACGTCCCGTTAGCACAGGGCCCCGGCTACCGATCGCAGTTAAACAGAACTCTACAGAACAGGCAGGACTGTCGCCCCATTTACGGGCAGTTCTGCTGGCTACCTAAAAAACCCAGCAGGTTCCTGAAATTCATTTAGGAAAACAGGGGGGGGAACCTTAACTTGCACTCTTGGGAATATTTTTTAAACTACTATATCATTACTACAACTTTTCTATCACAGCTAGTACTTCTATCAAGTATTGTGAGACCAAATGAACTACTTAATGGAAAAACACAACCACAAGAAACCTGTCTAGATAATTCACACACATAAACAAGGTGGTCTGCCGCAATGCTGAAGGTCAGGGATTTTCAACCTGTGTGCCTAAGAATTTTTAAAACATGCAATACCTGACTATTTAGTCAGGGGTACTGACCTCTTTTCCCTCAGATTGCCAAATTAAATTAAAAAAATGACAACAGTCAACACAACAATAGCCATCTGGTGTGAATGAACCAAAATTATACTTTTTTTTTTTTGTCAGGCAAAAAGTCCGATATATTTTTTGGTGTGCTGCAGAATTTTAGGAATTAGTTTATGTGCACATGAGATGAGAAAGGTTGAAAACCACATAGAAGTGCAAACAATTATTTTAGTGGTAAAAATAAAGCACAATAGTAAAAAGGTAATTCATATAGCAATTAAGTTAATGCAGACCTTTTAAAGAAAATCGATGATGAAACAGACAGATGATTCAGCTTTTCTTTTTCTTAAATCATTTCCTGAGTAATGTGGATGTGTGCCTTTAAAGACTAAATGACAGAGGTTCCTAAAAATCATTTTCTCATTTCCAAATTTTAACCTGTTGTCTATCTACCTAATCAAATAAGTGCACAGTTTCACATAACCAGCTGTTGCGCTGGACAAATATAACTGAATCACACCGCAGGCCGGAACAATCGGGCCTGGCTACAAACCTGCAAGGTGTCCAGTTCACTTTTTTATTCTTAGCTCTGGGAAGTGTGCAAAGATTTGGCTAATGTACAACCTAAGATTGACAACTAAAACAAGGAATTTCCATTTAAAAAATTAACTGTTCTAATTAACAAGGGAAAATATCCTCCCCCTGAATTAGTTTATCTAATTTTCATCTTTATTCAAAGCAAAATGACAATGATTAATTGAAAATTTAATAAGCAGTAATTATTAACTTGGCAAACCTAGTACCAATTAACACTCTATTAAAACTAATTATGACATGTTTCAAGTACTTGCACTTAATTGTTTCACCCACTTAAAAAGCACCTTAATTAAATGTTCTGTTTAATTAAAAACATAGATTCCTAATAAAAATGTTTTACTGTAGATTAAAAATGTAAGAGATGCAAATACTTCTATGGTTTCCTTCGCACATCTCCAGCCCGACTTGGGGACCGCCGGAAGCCCTCTGCTGGCGACGAGCCGTGGCGACCTGCGCAGGCTCCCTCCCTCAGCACGCTCCTTACCTCGCTCGTTTGCAATTACTGTCTGATAGGTTTCATAAACTAAAATATAAGGGAAAGGGCCAGACTGTAAATAGTAACTAAAATACCTTGAGCTTTTATTGGTCACTTTAAGATACGCAATTAAGCTCTGAATGGGAGCAGTGTACTGTGGAGCTTCTAGCACCTTCCCCAGGCACCGGCAGAAAGCGCCTCCATCACGGGATCCTAAGTGCCTCGGGCACCGGGAGGTGCTGCCCGGCTCCTGCGCAGCCAGGGCCTCCTTCAGCTTGAATATTCAAAGCGAATTAAAATTCTATCTCAGTGGTAATACAGGACAATAATTTTTGCTCACCATCAAAGCTGTAGCTTGACTAATTGTATATGCAAATCAGGCAATTTGTATTTAAATTATGCATTCCTATTCTAATCCCACAGGCATATACAGATCGGCCAAGAGAATTGGTAGGACATTTTCAAGGTGCTTGAATATTTATTACCAATTGCAAACATTCACTGATCGGATGCAAAAAAAATTAAAAAATGTATACTGATGAAAACAGTTGCAATTCAAAGACCATCTTTAAGTCAGATTTTTTCCAATTTTATAAGGATCTTTTGTAACTTTAGAGTATGTTTTGTTACCTTTGCTGTTGCTTTTAAAAATACTACTTTGATCGATGAGAACTTCCACATTTAAGATTCCAAATACTTTAAAATGTGCACTGTTATATTATTATATAGTATTATTGAGCAACATAAGAATTTCGAATAAAGCCTGTAGATTAAATATTAGTGGAGCAGCACTGGTCCTGCCCTCATTTTGAGAACTGTGTCGTGGTTATACAAGAGAATGTCCTGTGAGGAAATACACACTAAAATGTTGGGAAGGAAAGAAAAATCACATCCAAAACTTGCTTTCAAATGTTTTGGGGGAAAATGTGATGCCTAACAGAAAAAGAAAGGGAGGGGAGAGAAGAAAAGAGAGAGAAATATATGAAAGCAAATACAGTGCAAGAGGGGAAACGGGGTGAAAGGTGTAAGCCAGAGTCACCGGCAACTTTAAATCTCATTTAGCGTGCAGAGCAGCATCTCGTAATGAAAATCAAATGGTATGTGTGGAAAAGAAAAACAGCAGTGTAGCAGCTTTGTCATTTAACTTAAAAAAATTAGCTGTGATCATCGAATACTAATACTATTAATTAGCTTGGAAGACCGATTTTAAAAACTGGTTGTAACCATAAAATTTCTGAGTCTCAACAAGTCAGTTAGTTTCGATGCAGCTTTTATTAAAATGTAAGAATTCAGAGGGAAAGGCTAAAAGTATGCAATTTAAATGATAAAACAACAGATTTTTTTCACAATGAAAAAAAAAAATCTGCATGAAATGAAACCATTCTAGTCTCTGAAAAATAAGGGTTTGTGATGAAAACAAACCCAGCCTCTCCATTACAGGACCACGAGCAGATGCTGCTAAAATAAAAACTACCCCACGTCCTAATCAGGCCTGGCTTAAGAATATTAATCGGGATTTTTACATTTTGTGCTGCTGGGGGGGTGTTTTGTATTGTTTTGTGGTGCTCGTTGTCAGCAGGAAAGTCCTCTCTTGTCAGTCTTCACATCACTGGTTTAACAACTGCACACAGCTGCCAGAGCGCTCACGCCGTGTTTTTAAACAGTTCTTACCAGCTTTCTTCCAGATCTCCTCTGGCACGTATCCAGAAGCCGGCCTGTGCAGGAATTCCCGATGCGCGTCTACGGCGAGGGCGGCGGTGGAGAGAGGAGGAAAGCACGTGAGCAGGCTGACGGCACCGGGACGCAGGGCTACGCCCATCCTACTGGCTGCGCCCCCCACGCGTGAAAGGCTAAGCGTCCACGTCGAGAAAGCAAACAGAAGTAGCAAGGCCGGGCGCCAGGGCTCAGAGAAAACAGGTCCCTGGTCTAAAGGCCTTGGATGCGCAAAGCTCAAGCAATTTTAATGATTTCGTTATACAATATGTTTGGGAAGGCCGTTCCCAGCATGGATCACTATGGGAATTTCTATGGGTATATTTTATTCAAAGAAAATAAATTGCATTGGTAGGTTTTCTTTCAAGAGTCAAACTGGCAGTTAAAAATATACCAGTTTTCACATAGCTCTGACTCTGCCCCCTTTCAGTAACTAGTGAGCCTTACTTACTGCGTAGCTAATCAGTTCCCACACTTAATTACTCCTTGTCAGCTGATTTCTCAACAGAAACTTTGCAGGCCAGAGGGGAGTGGCAAAAAAACATCCAAAGTGATGGAAAGCAAAGACCTACAACCAGGATTACTCTACCCAGCAAAGCTATCACTTAGAGTCGAGGGACATATAAAGAGCTTCCCAGACAAGAAAAAGCGAAAGGAGTTACCACCACCAAACCAGTATCATATAAGATATTAAAGCATCTTCTTTAAGAATAAAAAACGTAAAAAATAGGAACAATAAAATGGCAGTAAGTACAAATATATAGAGAGAGTTTAGCTTTTAAAAATTTCACACAAAATAGATCATATGGATTTGACATGGGTGGAAGCAAGAGAGAATCATTAGAATGGACTCAAATATTCGGTTGACCAAAAAGAATTAGTACATGCTTTCCAAAAAAAAAAATGAAGCTCCACTTACAATGAAATACTGTGGTCATTATGCTTGTCCAATTTTAAAAGCTTGAGAAAACAGATAATATAACGATAAAGTTGATGTAGGAATGCTAACCTCCAAAGAACATGCTCATGGAAATGACATGATGCCTTAATATATCCTTCTATTTGCATGAAAATAAACTTCAAGAGTATACAGTCATCCACAGCTAAAGCACTCAGTTCGTGTCTTCCACACTGGATTTTCAATGCAAGCATGTGTCATTAGACATTTTGAGGAAGAAAATCATTTTAACTTTAAATATTATAACAATCATTCAACTCTTGATAAGTTTCAAGTAACTGAAATCTTCTCTACATGTATAGATCAAGTAGCAGACTGATTTTTTTAAAACAATATTTTAACTAATGATATGCTGAAGGTCAAAAGAAATTCAATCCAGTTTTCTATACTTTGCAAAGCTACAGAATATTGAAAATGGAAAAAGACACAATCACTGTAGCTAAGCATATATCATTTTATATTTAAATGCCTTAAATAAATTTGAATGTTTTGAATCTTGTGGGATATATAGCTTATCATTTGACCAGCCGACAAGATATCCCCAACTATTTTGAGTTAGAAAAGGCTTATTATAGTTTGGTGAAGGGTATATGAAAACTCTGTACTATCTTTGCAATGCTTCTTTAAATCTAAAATTACTCCAAATACAAGTAGTTTATTTTTAAAAGTTTACATTATAATTTTATGACTACGTGATAATTGGAGAGACTGGAAATATCCATGCATTCTCATGTGCACATTCATTTCTATAAAGTAAATTACAAAAACCAAAATGTTTTTATTTACGTCATTTTCATTCATAAAACAAGGAAACCTAGATAAAATCATTTGGGGCATATATGACTTTAAGGAAATGTGATATAGCTAATTCGTTTTGTCAAAATTACTTTCTACACCACTAAAATGGTTTCTAGAACAAATGCAGTGCAGTCAAGTTCACATTCAACCACATGACACAATGAAACAGAGATTTACTTAAGATAACTTTAAAAGACAATATTTTAGGCAAAGACTTTAGCTTAATAGTCATTCTTAAAGGAGGGAAAACACACAATGGGGTAAAGACTGTCTACTCAATAACTGAACATGTAAGAAACTGAAACTAGACACCTTCTTACACCATATACAAGAATAAACTCAACATGGATTAAAGACTGAAAGGACTTGAAACCATAAAACTCCTAGAAGAAAGCACTAGCAATAAAGTTTCTGACATTTCTCTTAGCAATGTTTTTTTCTGATATATATCCTTGGGCAAATAAAACAAACAAACAACCACCACAACAAAAAATGGGTTTCGTCAAATTAAGAAGTTTCTGTACAGCAAAGGAAATCATCAACAAAACAGAAAAAACAACCTACAGAATCGAAGAAGATATTCACCAATGACACATCTGATAAGGGGTTAATATCCAAAATTCACACAGAACTCATACAACTCAGAACCACGAAAACCAACCATCCAATTAAGAAATGGGCAAAGGACCTGAATAGACACTTCTCCAAAGAGCACATCCAGATGGTCAATAGACATATGAAAGGATGCTCAACGTCATTAATTATCAGAAAGATGCAAATTAAAACCACAATGAGGTGTCACCTCACACCTGCCAGAATGTCCACCATCAACAAATCAACAAACGACAAGTGCTGGCGAGGGTGTGGGGAAAGGGGACCCTCGTGCCCTACTGGTGGGAGTGCAGATGGTGCGGCCACCGTGGAAAACACTATGGAGGATCCTCAAAACATTAAAAATGGAGCCGCCTTATGACCCAGTGATTCCACTCTGGGTGTGTATCTGAAACACACTAATGCGGCCCCGGGTCACTGCAGCCTTATTTACGACAGCCAAGATGTGGAAGCAACCCAAGTGCCCATCAGCAGACGAGGGGATCACAAAGCTGTGGGACACACAGGGGTGGGAAAAGCAGGTTATAGTTGTGAGTACACAAAGCACAGAGTTTATTCTTGTGTCGTTATTTGTATTTCTCCATACGAACAACTGCAAGCCTGCTTTTGCCCACTCCTGAACATACAATGGAATACTATTTGGCATGAAAAACCATGAGATCTTAGCATTTGAGACAGCAAGGACAGGCCTATAGGGTATTATGGGGAAATAAGTCAGAGAAAGAAAGACAAGCACCACAGGATTTCACCTGCCTGGCTACAGCTCCCGAAAATTCTCAATGACACTTAGACTCAAACTCCACCTAACCCAGACCCTGACAGAAGCACCAAAGCCAACGAAGCAATTCTTTTCTCAGTCCTCTACTACTCCGTTAAATAATCTTTTTTCAAAACAACAGCAGAATCTGAAGGCAAATAGATTATTTTGATGAAATATACATACATTTTCATACATAATACATTCTTTCCAATATCCTCTTTAGTTGTAAGCTAGAGTGTCCTACCCATGGAAATGGAGTAATCAATAACAGACAGATTCCTCAGAATCTATTTTGATATACTGATAAATACTATAATAGCTACACAAACCCAATGATTAATAAATTTAATATTTCTCTTCTGATTAAGTATCAGCAATAACAGAGTCTATAAAGGCAAAATTGAGTTTAAAAACACACACAATAAAAATCCTGTAGTTGATCAATATTACAGGAGACATCTTCTCTCCTAAGACTTTCTTATTTTAGAATATTAGCTAATTTAGACAAACGTATGCAAAAGACCTTAAGTTTCGAAGGCTCAGATTCTAAAGAAGCTAATTTTTAACCATTAACTCTTGACTGCCTATAAAATATCAGTTGCTATAAAATGAATAGCTTAATAAAATGTAGCGGTAGAAACAGAGAAGAGCTTATAGGAGATGTTTTAAAATGGGAAACCTATTTATCCGCATCTACAGAAAGATGAAAAAAATCATAGAAAAGTCCTGCTAACGTAAGTTTAGCTTGCAATGGGATGCAAACTGCTTAGGGGCAAGAGGAGAGGAAAGCCTCCGGAAGACAAGGCGCACCTACGGAGAGAAAAGACCCAGCCGAGGTGGGGGAAATGCTGTAAGGAAGGTGGAAGAACACAAAGCAACAGCTGATGTATGAAAAACACGGATGGTGCACTACACTTACGACAGAATGGAGACCATTGGGTACTAGGTGCAGCGAGGGCCGCCATCAATATACATGAAGGGATGAGCTGAGAGCCTTTGGAGAACCAATGTGACCTCACATGACCCAGGCAGCAATGTCAATGCTTGGCAGCACCTAGGCATGGCCTTCATCCTGTAGTGGGCAGAATGAGGCTGTGATCATGATCATATCTAGCACAAAGCCATCAAAAAACAGGAAGGGTTACGAAACTTCACTTTTACAGGTGCTACTCATTTTTGTTAAGGACAATAAATTCGGAAAATTCAATATCATGTTTCAGGAGCCCAAACCCAACCTTCCTTAGGATTTCCATCGTCAACGATAAAAGCACCTACTGCTCCAGGAGGCAGCCATCTCTTCTCGTTAAAAGACGGACATATCTTACTAAAAGTCACATCTTTTTCAGCACCATATACTTAAATACAGTAGGCACTTGACGTTGGGAGCTCGGCCGAGTGGTCTCGAAACGAATTTCATTATGTGATTTAAAGGAATCAATGCAAATGTATGAAACTCTAAACATTTCCATGCAGATATAGTCTGAAGGACTTGTTTGTGGTCTTTCTAATCTGATAGTGTAGAAGCCGAATGATATATTTCTTTGGTTAGAGGCAAACTATTTTTCCTTCAGCCTTCCATTATGAATCGGGGTCCCAGAGGTACAAAAGATTTACTGTATAAGGCAGAATTCCCCTGTTCTAGTTTCTCTGCCCATTAAATAAAGTTGTCACCTGAAAATTACTGCCTGGGAGACTTTCTAAATAAAAAGAATACCTCAGAATCTGCTATAATTTCATAATGTTGGCTGCCAAGCAAACACACTAGTTTCATGTACCATTATTCTCTAAAGTTCCTTTTTGAGACTACACGTTAGAAAGTAATAATAATAGCAATTACTTATATCTACTATGTGTCAGGCACTGTTTGACATGCTTTATACACAGTAATTCATTTAATAT